CATTATAAGCTAAAATAAAAATGTGTATCTAATGTTTTTCTATTACAAAATTTTGTGGTGATGTCATCCACATTTTTGCAAGGACGCATATATAAGTGTGGATAGATATGCATTGTAATACTAATAATAAAAGTATTGTATTATTGTTATTCTTGAATAGTGATTTATAATTAATAAAATAACGAAACAATTTAATCACGTCTGCCGTACGTAATAACAGAAGTGCGACTGAAGGCTGAAGTGAAAATCAATTATGGTGCTCATAACTCTAGACAAATAGCGATAACACTTATCAACCTGTAGACATGAGAGTAAAATAGAAACTAAACTAAAATATGTTCTCTACGAATTGCAATAACCGGATCACAATCCCGACGGTCCAGACTTTTTAATTGCTCCGACTTCCGCTTATTGAATAAAACACTACATTTTATTTTGGTTTTCGATGTTGTAATTCACATTTGGTTTATTATAACTTGTCTATATCTAGGGGAGGCCCAGCATCCCCTAGCCTCCCCCTATCTACGGCCTTGTCTACGGGTTCTGAAATATCGAGAAAATATGAAAGTACCAAATTGCCCGATGGACTCCATTACTGTACGTCCTTAGGTTATCCCATTAAGAAAAACAACTCAAAAAGTTTATGTTTATACAGCGGAACAATGTCACGTAGAAATTAATTTGATTTGAATGATTTCGTCCCCTCAAAACACAGGATCAAAATTATTAAGTAGTTAGCTACAATTGACAAAATGTTCTGAATATCATTATTATAATTCATAAATAAAGATGTTAGTATTTTCACATTTTCGAGAAAATGGGGTGACTCGTTTTTAATTTGATCAATAAAAAATATGAATGCAATGATGAATCACAAGTAAAACTCATCATATTTTGCACATTTTGAGTAGAATTTTTTCTGCAAAATTTTGAGATGACGTAATCAATTTTTTGGGGTTGGTAAATAGATACGTTTACTTAAAAAGTTACCATGCTTCCAACAACTTCAAAAGTCTGCAAGATCTCAAAATATTCCATTTTGCAATTCTTGATTTAAACAATAAAATAAATTGACTAAATAATTAATTTTTTTAAGACACCCTGTATGAGCAAATTTAAAAAATATTAATGCAGTGATAAATCACAAGTATAGACTCATCATACTTTGTATATTTAAGATTTATTCGGCAAAATTTTGTACTGATGTTATCGATTTTTTGGAGGGGATAAGTAAATATATTTTGATTAAAGATTTATCAAGCTTATCATAATGTAAAACATTTGCAAGATTCCAAAGCATTAAGTTTTGAAGATTCAAAATAAATTTTTATAATTTTGATTTTTTTTCCAAGAATCTAAACGTTTCAGGTAAAAACTCAATACGGAATCATAAACTATATGTGTAGGACTATGCGATTTCATATAATTTAAAACCCATTTACTAAGTGCAATTTTGAAGTGACGTCATCACATTATTAGTGGGGGTGATTGGACAAATTTTGGTGAGCGTTTTACTATCTATCCACTTATATCAAAATATAAATACAAAATTTGAGAACTATCGGAGATTATCTGTCTAATAAAAATCGGGACGGCAGACAGACAGACGGACAGACGGACGGAAACGGGAGACTTATTTCTTCGTACTCTAGAGGCCATGAAAGGTCGAGGAAACGTAAAAGTAGAGGGTCGGCCGATGGACTCGATTACAATACTTCCTTCGCTTACGCTCGGGAAGTAAAAAAATATATTTTGTAGAAATTTCGCATCTAGAAAAACTTATAAGCTAGCCGTGAATATATATATTTATTATAAATTTTACCAAAATGCACTCACTCTCTGACAAAAAAATTGACCCATTCACACTTTTTAACAAATGTATGTAAATTGTAGTTATATAACACTGAAATGTTTTTTCGAAATAAAAGGCACTTCTAAGGAGTTCAAACAGAGCCGAAATAGTAATTTACGCAACTAGTTCGGGATAGCCTGCTTCCCGCATGAACGCTTGTTTGAGGCACGACCGAAGGGAGTGCCGCATTTGCGTGAATGCGGGAAGCAGGCTCGCGAACGTGTTGTGTACAATATTTTTTGCGACGAATAAACCTTTAAACTGAAGAGATTAACTGTGAGTTATTTATAAACAACGCCATTGACAGCGCCGTCAACACGTCACAATGTTGACACTACCCGAGTATTTTAAGGTTACCATGGCAACGGGAAGTTAAATGCACGTGTGCGGGAAGTTCGACCTCCCGCACTCTGGTGAATGCGCGAAAGCTATCAAAAAAGGTCATGAGTGCAAAAAACTATTTTTTGCACTCATGACCTTTTCGAACTTCCCGCACACGTGCATTTAACTTCCCGTTGCCATGGTAACCTTAAAATACTCGGGTAGTGTCAACATTGTGACGTGTTGACGGCGCTGTCAATGGCGTTGTTTATAAATAACTCACAGTTAATCTCTTCAGTTTAAAGGTTTATTCGTCGCAAAAAATATTGTACACAACACGTTCGTGTGCCTGCTTCCCGCATTCACGCAAATGCGGCACTCCCTTCGGTCGTGCCTCAAACAAGCGTTCATGCGGGAAGCAGGCTATCCCGAACTAGTTGCGTAAATTACTATTTAGTGAATAAACTTCAGCTTTTGAAAACATGAATGCTGAGGAAAATATCCTCAAAGGTCAACAATATAATGTTTAATTTTTTTGATATTCCGGAAAAGAAAAACCTAGCTATTGGTGGTGAAATAAAGACAGAAACTTGTGTAGTAAGTCTACCCCATGTCGCCTTTCGGTAGAGAAAATCCTAACAAATACAAGTCCGTTTAATATTTATATGAAAATTACGTTGTTCAAAAAGATTTACAAAAAAAATATTTTTACATTTTTCAAAAAAATGGTCAGGTCGCTTCAAATGAATAATAATAATAAGCGTTTTTCTCCTACACATGTTATTTTATATTCTTTCTATAAAGAGTTTTTAATTTTATTCTAAGTAGTTAGATGTTTATATTTTCTTTGTGTGTAAATTACGTATAGTAGCATTACAAAATAACACAAAAAACACGAATACACAATTATATTTAAGATGATAATTAAAATGGATGCTTTATGATACAAAATTTGTGAGTAGGGAAGTTTGCGAAAGAAGGCCGAAGGCCGAGCATGTTTACCCTCAAGAAAATATGTATAACAATAGAGAAAGTATTTTTGAACTCACAGAGCTTTAAGCAAACGTAAGTTCGTACCGTTACAATAAAAATGTTAATAAACCTATTATTTGATCATGTAAAAAAATTAAATTTGTAATGAAGAAATCCGAAATCGAACTATTGCCTAACTGCTGAGAATAAACCATAAACCCCGAATCGATAACAACACTTTTAACAATAAAATCTCGTTACACACTTTACTTAGTTTACGCTGAATCTAATGTCATAAAAAATTACTGAAATATGTAGTTGGTTTAAGTACATTTAGCGTAAATACACATCTTATAGATTAATTCCACCATTTTTCGTTAGATTAATACGAGTCATAATTATTCTACCTTTTTTTGAATACAAATAACGCACTTTTTTTAAAGTAATATGTGTGTTTAAGCAGGAACCATTAGCAGCAATACCACAAAGAAACGAACAGTGGTGTAACAACGCACAATTCAATACATTTCCATCAGTATGACATAATATTATTAAAATATTACTTCAGTACTATAAATATTACTACACCGGCGATGGTTTGAAAATGTGTTCTTAGTTAAGCCATGTCAGAAATTTATCAAAACGCAATCGTGTGAAGTAGGTTGCCTTGGAATTTAATTTTGTAAAGTTATTTTACTTTTCAAAAAATATCAATTTTTGTTTTAATTTAAATAGCTATGCAGTTTTTGTTTACATTTAATTCTGTACCAAATAGTTTCAAACGAGTTCTAGGTGCACAATTCTGTATTAGTATTACTCTTACTTTCATATAGTTTTTTTTATTATTTCTATTCTTTTCTCTAAGTTTTTTGCTTTATTTAAATTTTAGTAAAAGAAATAACACCAACACCTAAAAAGACATTCATGTTGATATTTATCAGGGACAGTGATAACTGATAAGGTAATGCTATTTCTATATTTTGGTAATTTAACTCTAATTATTGTAAATATTCTTGTGTTGTGTACTTTTTAATTTTATAAATTAAACATTCAAGTTGAATACCATACTTTTTCTGTGACTGTTAGTGACCTTTTACACGAATCATGCGCTTTTACACTCATACTATGAAATACTTTTCCAAAGTACCGTTGGTACTTATAATTTCTAATATTACGTTTTTGCCATTATATTTGGATCAATTCAAACCAATCCATTGTTTATTTATTATTAATTCGCTATCTTCTCTAGAGTAATAATGTTATTTTAACGTTGACATTTACAGTCTACTTACAAAAACAATAACACACCCACATTTAATATTGAAAACAGTTACAAACGAGGGTGCCCACCTAGACAATTCCATTCACAAAAAATTAGTTGGGGAAATTAAAAATGAACGACATTCGCGAAAACTAACTCCGGATATGATTTTCCGTTTTTTCAAAAAAATTTTCACTGACGCAGCCTGTCTATCACAGCACCTTTAAATCAAAATCAACATCCTTAATAACCCATGATTCATTACTTCTTAAGTAATCACCTTGAACATCAACAACACACACTAGCAAAAACTAATAATTAATTTGCAACATTTTAACAACTTTTCGTTTCTATTGAACTCATTTCCGGATCCTGAATCGTGTTCACCCAAATACGAATTTAGCATACTGCACGCCCTTATTAAGTTGCTCTAAATGCATAAGGCGAGCAATGCACGTCGCGTCGGTGAAAGGTCCTCCGGGGCTGTTGACAGCGGCACCAGGAACCGGCCCGGAGTTCTGCCAGACTCCGGGACCTTGCCCCTTCCTTAACAGACTCCTTCACCTTATATAAGGTAAATGGCGACCCCCGCGCTACTTTAGTGCAGTGTCTTCTATCCACAAACATGTTGCCTTTTAGATACGTGAGTAAATTTTACTCTTTTATTAAAGACTGTCAACCGGAGTTGAGTGACAAATTAGCAGTGGTTCAGTGACTAGTGCCTTTGACGCATTTTGGCAATTTTGAGAATCTGGGTTAAAGAGGCAGTGTCGTGTGACATTCACGTAATGCGTTGGGCAAAGTCACGTTTTCTCGCATGATGTAAACGTGATATTAAGTTATTGCAAATAAGAGCAGAGAGAGGCGCCAGGACGATGCATCAAGTTGCAAAATTTTACAATTTCGAAAATTCGTACTAATAAAATAATTCTGTTTTAGTTGCAATATTGTAAGAAGTGACCATTGTCCGCTCGAAGCTCTTTGTTGCAACGATTAACATTAATGAAAGTCAAGGTTCAGTCCCATACGGAACATATTGGGTGTAGTACCAGTCGTGACATTCCTGCAAATTTCTTTATGATTATTAGTCACTAATTGTAACACTTGTATTTTGATCAAGATCACCGGGTTCTTTTGAGAAATGCTAACACGAGGAAATTGCCTTGAGATAATTTCACACATTTCCATTCTTAAGCAACTCCTCCCTGTTCTTGTTAAAATTTCAATGCCATATGAGTACTAACGCATAAATTATTTATCCACTCGTTTGTTCATAGTTGGTAATTTAAATCGAGTAAATGTATTATTCATTTCCTACACGTTTAAAATTTCGTCTCGGTAACAATGGACGGTAATGTGATATCAATGAAAATTGGCAAGTAATCTAGAAAGTTGAAAGCTCTTTTACTTGCGTTACAGGTAGATAAAAGGCGTGGTCACTTGTTATTGAACATAATATGGTTTTTAATGTGGTCTATTACTGCAATATTTTTACTTTCGATGCCTAGAAACCTATTTATGTAGCATTACTTAATAATGACACCAATGAACGCTTGAATGAAAGAAAGTCAACTGTTTGTTTACGCATGTTTACGAATGAATAATTTTTTCTTCATTTGATTGGAATTGCGGTTACGCGATTTTTACATTTGAATTATATAAAAATATTGCTATCATTTTTGGTTTGGAGATTGGTTAATACTAAAATATTAAGACAATGCATTGTAATACAGATGATTAAAATATTTCACATACTTGTAGTGAATTGTTTCTTATCGGTAACGTAACATATTTTGAAGAAAGCTGCTGGAATTTAGTTTTGCAATGATTGATTATATTTGATGAGTATGAAGTATTACCTTACGCTTAAATTATTATTAATATTTATGCATATATATGAGTTAATATAATCATAACTATACAAATTTTGAAATTATTTCGTGCTTTCAATAAATGAACAGAAATGACGGCCTGCTCTAATAAACATTTATTTTGATACAATACTACAAATTGACCCTAACATTAATTAATCTATTTCAATATCAATCTACTGTTTTCTTCTTATTTTTATTATGTCATACTAAATAATAAACAAACTTTTTTAGGTGGCTGTGTTTGCTCTGTTAGCTGTAAGTTGGGCTCAAGATTTTGATTATGATCTTCCACCTAGACCAGCACCACATCGTGTAAAACCCAGTTATTCCGGACCTGCAGCATCAGCTCCTAGACCCACACCGGTACCAATATTGAAACAGATTAACAGGTATATGCATAACTTAATGAGACGGACGGAGTATACCATGATGTACAATTAATATTTTTTATCATCGTGTAGTGTTTGATTTTTCGCACTAGGAAGAAAAGTAATGAAGAAAAAGTAATTTGTAGGTACACGTAACTAAATTCATGAACATTATTTTTCTGCTTAAACCCAAACTACGATTTCCTATAATTAATTTTTATAACAATTAAATCATTCTTTTACATAATACTATATGAATCTACATTAATTTTCTTTGAAACTAATAATTACGCAATTTAGGTATTTCATTTACGGAAATGTCAAATACCTATAAGGTACTCTAATCCAGAGAAACGGATGTCCAGAGACTGGTGAACGGCCGCAACATAAATAAACAATACTTCTTTAACCGCTAAAATAAGTAATTATCGGATAAAACAACTAACAGAAAAAGGAAATAAAATTCGGCCACGGTCGTCCTACGGCCTCCCTGACGGCGGCTTCTCACAAGCCGGGGCTGCTTTGAATCCTGAGGAGACGGCGACGAGTACGGTATACCAAAAGGGTTGTTGGTATTCGGTTTATCGCGCGCGTGGTTTTAACAGTATTTTCTTGGGGTAGCGAACTGTGAAGTGCAGAGCCCAACTCGGTACTTACGGGTCGGTACAATGGTCGGTGGCACTTGTGCTTGCAGCTTCTCACTTATTCGGAAAAAAAGTACTCCCAACACTATCGTCGCTTCTCTTCTCATAACCTTCCTCGCTAGCGTCGAAGACTCAGTACCGGTTTCCGGTGTCGTGTCGGTGCGGCTGTCACAAATTAATCTCTGCCCCCAATACACACATTACAGCTTCCGGACCGCAATCTTTAAACTGTTCTCCAACTTACTCGACATTGTTTAAGACTCAATTCGATAATGTTGGTATCTAGATTTTCTCTATATTTTCTTACGTTCTTGTCTATTGCATAACATTATATTTTATTCACAAAAGAGATTTTTTTCTTTCGAAGTTTTCTGTGATGTTAACAAAAATAACTTAATCTGATTCACCACAAAAATTAAAATTATGCAGAAAAAAAAATGCAATATCAGTGGATTTTTGAAGTATAAACAATGTCTACTTTTGCACACTACAAATGTCTTCATTAACTTTTAGCTAACGAAAAATTCAAGAAAGGGAAAAAACGACACTTCTTATTTGCATTAAAATACGATTTGTCTGAAATTGACTACTTTTTGTTCTTACAACATCTGTCGTATTCTTCTCCGTCAGACAATTATTTTAGTAACTTCTTCCTTCTTACCCACCATTGCTTAATTCTGTATTTTATTTCTGTGTCGACGGTTTAGTTAAAAAAATGTATAAAACACTCGAAACCGAGGACCGTATCTAATCTTTTAGATAAAATCATATTTAACAGAATAATTTTGCATTCTTGGTAATTTTCGACTCACATAATACACGCAATGAGCCCAAAATACTATAATACATATACATAATATATCATATCTATTATTCCATTGTAGAGAAATATTGAACCTTACAGTTTTTCTTTACTTGAGTATATGTATTTCTGGTAAGGTGTCTTATACAGGGTGTTATTAAAAGGTACGTACAACAAAATTGAAAGTTATTCGCGAAGTCTAAGAAGTCTGAAAAACTTATTTTGTGTTATCAAAATTATAAGGGGAAAATTAAACTTTAGCCAACCTTTTTAGACTCTACTGAAGGATAAATAGGTAAAATTAATTTATTTTAGTAAATCCTAGCAACTGTAACCATAAAACTTTTGTCAAGGCTAAATGTTGCTATAGAAACGAAAAATGATCTTTTTATCAGAGGCGTACAACGAATTTAATAATTCTTATCTCTAAAAGGAGGACACTTTTATCTGAACTTTTTTTACTTTTAGCACTCATGCTTCGAGACCAATTGTCGATTTTATTTTGTACGTAGCTTTCAATAACACGCTGTATATTTTTGTTGCTATGCAGTTAGTAACATTTTAAACACTAGTGCGGTAAAATATGACATATACAAAACTCACTTGACATACACCTTGTAAAACTTTTATGACTTAAGCAGCTTAAGCCAAACCACCTATAAGTCAAACTGGCTATTGTAAGCTTTATGGACCCGAATCGCAAGGATTATCACTATCCATTGTTGCCATAATGGAGCTGTAAAATTTTACTGGGTATATGTGAACTGTGTTAAGTTATACAATAGCCAGTTTGACTTATAAGGGTGCTTTGGCTTAAGCCGCTTAAGTCATAAAAGTTTTACAAATGAGTTTTGTACAATTTATGTGTATAATCTCGGCTACTGTATTAAATCACCAGGCTTCACGTATTTTGAAATTTATATCATCCAAAGAATATTAGCTAAAAATTTTACAAATGTCCTTCAGAAACAATAGTCGGGATATTCGCTAGATTTTGAAAGTTATAAGTAACTTACTATCTCTGTCTTGGTATAATTTCATTGATATTTATGCCAAAAGGTTAAAATGAGCATTTGTAATTAACGAATAAATACCACTATGTTGTATGCAGTGAACGGAAGACTGTATACTTTCTCAAACATCTGGACTGTTAACACTATAACACTATCTATTTCTTTGTTAATAACTAAGAAGACTCATTTTACATCAGCTCCTAAATGAATAGTATTTGCACTAAAAAATATTAATAAGTTAATATTCTACTTTGTACCTTGATTATTCCAAAAGAAGATTGCCCACTTCTGCTCATGTGAATTCAACATTAACTAATAAGACCAAACATTTACTGTTTTTTTCTTAACAAAATATCTCAAAAAAACATATTTTCTTTTTCTAATGGCATTCGTTAAAAAGCCATGTCCTTCTGCAACGATGATTTTTTTCGATAATAATGTTAAAGTAGCATTTTGCTGTATGATAATGCTTTATACACGATCTAACCTTGTGGTACCTTTCTATTAGTAAATATTTTCTTAATGTTGTTTTGTTTTTGTTGGTGAGGTAAGAATGATTTATTTGCAATAAACAGAAAATTGTAAATATACACTAGCTACACTGTATGTATCATAATTCAATAACTTCAAACAAACAATTAAAAAATCTCCACGTTTCTTGCAGACACAATGAAGATGGTTCATACACCTACGGCTACGAAGGCGCTGATGGTGCCTTCAAAATCGAAACCAAACTGCCCACCGGAGAAGTCAAGGGCAAATACGGTTACGTGGATGACACCGGCAAAGTTCGAGTAGTAGAATACGGTGCGACCAAATACGGCTTCGAACCAGCTGGTGAAGGCATCACCGTAGCTCCCCCAACCCTCGTCGACGAAACCACCAACAAAGATGGCACACTCAACCCTGAATACGCCGGAGCTTACTACGACGACAACTACCAACAACCAGCTCCTGCTCCAATCAGACACGCCCCCGCCCCAAGACCCCGTCCCCAACCCCAACAAGAACCCGTGTTCGAATTTTCGGGTCCTCAACAATTCAGCCCAGCTCCTCAAAGAAGCGCCGCTCCTGTACCCAGTCGCGCTTTCGTCCCCGGGGGCTCTCCTTCCGGTGTAACCACTCACAATTTCGAGTTTGGACCTTCTCCATCGGCCGCTCCCTCTCACGCCCCCAGACCATCTGCCAGGAGCTACGCTCCAGCTCCCAGACCTGTTCACAGACCACCTCCACCTTCTTTTGCCAGACCAGCTCCCATTGAAGAGGAATTTGGAGAACCTGAACCCGCTCCTGTTAGGAATCCTCCAAGGATCACGTACGCTCAGCCTGCTCCTTTGTCTGCTCCTTCAAGGAATCACATTGAGCCTCAGTTTGCTCCAGCTGCAAGACCTGCTCCACAGTATGCTCCCAGGCCACAGCCCCAAGCGGCAACTGCAGGTCGCAGCGGGGGAATCCTAGACCAGCTGTCCAAAGACTATGCCCTTCCCAATGGAGGAGCGGCCCCTTTACACGATATTAGTTTCGGATATTATTAAATCTGAAATTTTTTAATTAGTTATTTTTAATAGTACGTCATATGGTCCAAAATTTAGATTTTGATTTTTGGTTTTGTGTAAATATTTTGTTTTTGTTTAGTTTTTAAATTGTAACAGTGCTGTCAAAGACGATATGATGTATTATTACGTGTTTTGTGTATTTTAAAGATTATCAGTATCAACTGTTCGGGTCAAGCTAGTCCTGTAGCTGAAAACGTTCAATCAGGAAAATTCAGTTGATATTCAACTGTATCGTCTAGTAGTGGACGATGATTTGTCTCCTAAGTTAAATAATTTGTAGTGTATGTGACTGAATCTTATCAAATTGTACAATGTGAAACTTTTATTCAATTTTCTTTCACCCAGTTAATATCAAAATGTCAATTCTAATTACTTGCGTTGCTCAACCTGTTAACACTGCATATTGTTTTTATTCGTAACGTACCTGTGACGTTAAAATTGGTAAATCACAATAAAATGTAATTTTTTTCGAATAAATGTTTTATTTATGTAAATGAAGTTGAAAAATGCAAGTCATCTGTCATGGTTGCTTTTATCCTTTCTCCTATGGGTGGAGTGGGAGATATAGGGTCCCACCTATGCTCAGGCATGTCCCATCTATAGCCCCTCTATTACAAATAGCAACGTCAACCATTGTTCTTACCGCTGGAACAAAATTATGTTAGTGTCATTGATTATACCAAATACATATAACACCGTTTGTTTTTTGAAGTTCGACATGTGTGTCACTGTGGAGGGCACTAAGACAAGTAATAATGTGATTGATTAGATTATGTACTAGAAAACAACCTTTCAACTTACTCTGACTAACATGATCAGACCGTTCGAGAAACTTACGAACAATATGACATGCAACTTTTTGCATTTTGAAAATTATTAAATCATTTAGATGTCAATAAAATTCAAATTCTCAAATAACCTATTGGATATTACCATTATTATAAAAAATATTATCTTAAATTAATTATTGCTTGCAAGTTTCTCCATCATCAAATTGAAATTCCCGCTGTTTAGATGTGACTCTCTTTCATTGATGGTAACTTTGTATATTGTCAGTTTGCAGTGGTTTATACCAGGTTTGTCCACGGTGCGTTAGTATTTGTATAATAGAGAGGCTATAATTCCATCGTCACTGCAATGCCATCTTCATAACACTATTTCAAATCAATAGGTACTTCGTACTCTTTTGATTATCTGGTTGTCTGACTCTTCGAACCTGTAGTTTCATTTAATTGTCTTTTGATTTACTTTCATACAATTAACTTTGTGAATTGTAATAACCCAAACATTCCGCCAAAAATTGATATGTGGACAAAAATTGAAAACCCCGCGAAAATTTGAAAAAGTGGCCACGAACGGTGATCGTCAACAAAATGTAACTCTACGTTGTGTTTTGAAACGCCGGAATGTGTTCTGATGGAAAGTGAGAAGACAAAGGCAGCACCGAAAGGAAACATCTTTTATTCAATTTTGAAAAAGTGATTTTAAGTTTTACATGTAACAAAATAAATGGCGGAAAAGGTGGTCCCTCTTTTGAGAGACGACAAATGAAAAAATATGAAATAAACCTGACAAGCATATTTTCCCAGCTGCAAAACCCCTCCGCCTTTTATGAAAAATCAATTATAAATTCCGTTATAAAATTATTAAAATCCTATCGGTAACATACAAAGGAAACAAGCAAGTTCGTTAAACTCTAGCTAAAGTAATTGGATGGCAATGTCACAGTTTGTTGCAGTGGCATGTTGGAAGTTCTTTTTCTCTCTATTTTTTAATAAGGCTTGTATTTCCCAACAACAAAAATTTCGTTCTTTTCAACTGCAAAATTACAAATCTCGATCACATAAACCGTACAGTTTGTAGTTGTAAATTTTGTATATGTTGTATGTATTCATTTCTAATAATGTGTCTTTAATCTACTACCAATTTGCCCTTCGATTAAATATTACAAATAAAATCAAATCTATAAGTCTCAAACCCATGCAACTCCAACATTGTGATTCAACGAATCTGAATCTGCAGTCAATCTACAGAAAGCTCCCGACCGCTCCTCAAGAAAAAAGGCAGATCTACATTACAGAAAAAGTATCATTCTTTCTGGCGCTAGATTTAATTTGAACCGAGACACTACAATATCTTTCGGAATACGCTAGGACAACACATATTATGGTACTCCACCATTTCAGCGTAACGAATGCTACACTTCGTTGAGTCGGTCTTGGCTGTCGAACTTGACCCTCTGCCAAAACTCTATTTCTTTATCCCCATTTTTCTATCGATTACCTCGTTTCTTAATTTTTCTACAGCCTTCGTGCCTTAATAGAATAATAACAATAATTTGTAGGGTAGCGTGTGTTCTATTCTTGACATCTTTCTTTCTTTCCTTTTTTTATAGTTGACTACCTTTTTCTCTTCTCTTCTGTTCTCTCTACAACAACTGTGTGCAATACATATATTACCTCGTATAGTTAATAATTATCTGAACATCCGTGGCACGAACTTTTCTCTGCATTTCCATATTTTTCGACCGTTTTTTCCGGTAGTTTCTTAAAGTTGTTCTCCTTAGCCTCAAATTCACAGTTGTTTATTTTACACGTGTCAAAGGGTTTCACGCATGGTCGAGTTCGAGACCTTAAGGTCAAATTATCAACCCTTCGTGTATATCGATAGAGTGTGGTTTGAACTTTTCGTAGTCCAAATTTTCAGAATTTGAACCACTGGGTTGATCAACATTACGTTCTCTAATTGTACCGATTTGTTTTGGATTATCGTTCAAGACACCAACTAGGAGCGGTAGCGTGAATCCAGGGTCGTCGGTATACACGAAAAAAGAGGAAAAAACCACCACAATAAGCCATTCATCTCTAATTTTCAGAATTTTTATTTGAATACCACTTTTTAGGCACGTCTCTTTTTTATAGTCTCTTTTTGTCTACTATTTGCCACTACATTATTTCTTTTGTACTTGGTATATTCGTATACTTCGTCATTGGGTTGACTGTTGAATTTCTCGAACACCATCCACGCTTGGTGATGACCCAGGATCGTACTTAACCCAGTACCTTCTACCCAGCGGATCATTTGTCCCGACTTGTCGATTGGTGATCCTCATTGGTCTCTGGTCCTACTGAGAGGTGTAATTTGTATAGAGCTTTTTCATAATACCGGTAATTTTTCTTTCCCTAATACATATAGTTGTCGGCGACTTAGCTTTGCGTGCTATGAAATTGTTCAGTTTATCTTTCTCCCAGTTTTTAGGGAACTCCATCTATTCTAATCTCTGTTTGGTACTCCCCTTTTCTTTATAAACTTCATTTTTTGTTTTGTACCATGTGTTATGAGTCACTGAAAGCGAACCAAGATCTCGTTGACTTGCAAATTGACCGTGAGAGGTACAATTATGGATGAGGGTCTAGCTCTCGGTCAAATGCACAAGACTCTTAGTAGTTTAATCCATTTAGAAAAAGCAGAGACACATTTAGATTATCCAGCTTACCCTTTTAAATTTGAAGAAGGCAAAGCAGCTTTGGAAAGTAAGATTAGTGAAATTGAGTGGTTAATGAAGCAATTTAAAGAAACTCGAGATTCGAATTATAAAAAAATTACGTCTAAAATTTACCGTGCTTATATCGTGTCAATAAATCGTACCCTGCATCTACCATAGATAAACGGAGTAAATCGGAGTTAGTTGTCAAAATTCTCGATTTAGGTTCATCCGCAATTCTTGGTAAAGCAACTGATCGATCAGTACGAAACCAAACTTTGGGTCTGCCTAACGTTGATTTAGTGGATGACGATAATGATCAGGATCATACATAACAGTAGGGACGAAGAGGTACGTGCTTGTCCGACATCCTTAACAGAATCTAGTCAAATGGCGACCATACTTCATCTAATCTCTTCCCAATTGCCAAATGGCATTTATAGTATGCTGGAGATGACCAGGATATGGCACTCAGCGCCTTTTTGACCTAGATGGAGAAGTGCATGTGGGGGCGACATGTCACAGATATTAGTTTCAAGTATTACTGAACCTAAAATTTTTTTCTGACTTATTTTTAAATGGTATGTAGAGTTGTTCAAAATTTTGTTTCTAAGTTCTTACTTTTGAGTAAATATTTTGTTTTGTTTATTTTTTAAAGTGTAACGGTAGGTACTGTCAAAAATAATAGATAGTTATTACATGTTTTGTGTATTTTACAGATTATTATCAACCTTTTACTATTGGGATCAAGTGGTCCTGCAGCTAAAAACATTCAATCAGGAAAACTGAGCTGATATTCAACTGTATAGTAGTGGATGATGATGTGTCTCCTTCGTTAAATAATTTGTAACAAACATGTGTAACTGAATTTAATCAAATGCGAAACCTTTGTTCACTTTTCTTTCACTAGATATTATCAAAATGTCAATTTTAATTACTTGTTTTGTTCAACGTGTTAAGAACGCGTATTGTTTTTATTCGTAACGTATCATCTGTGACGCTTAAATTGGTAAATTACTATAAATTGTTAACATTTAAAAAAAACGTTTTATTTTTGTGCACATACTTACTAACAAAAAAACAAATTTAACTACAAATAGACAGAGTCCAGTATTCTATTCAGCATGAAGGTTTCATGTTTCATGTTGTAAGTCGTGGATTTAGATGTTGTTTGCCATTTATTCTATATAATCTATAGACGAAAAATGCAACTTTCCTATCTTCATCTACTCATCTACTGGTTGTGTTCTGAATATAATAAGAAATGTAATTTTCGAAACTGTCATATCGGTTGACAAAAAAACCTTAATGTACTTAATGATTATCCTACAAATGATGAAGTTATAATAAAAATTTGTCTATTGATCGTTTCCAAAAAACTGGTGACCAAATTGGGAGCTGTATTTCAAATTTACCGAGAAATTATGTACTGTTGATTCTATCAAAGTTATAGGCAACTTATTAAACACAGGAGTGTGTATGTTTGTAGTACTGCAGTAGATGCTGATTATGATTGATTAGTTATGGTGGTCATAATCCTGGCTTAAACCAATATATTTAGTAGATACAAAAATGTTATGAATTCTTCCTGATTCCGTTACATTCTCTGAGACATTTATTTGCCAAAAGACAAACGTAGAGCCTATTTGATCTTGCATTTTTTACACAAATAACCAAAACCGGAATGGGATAAAAGGAAATGACCATCTAGACTAAAAATCTACGTTCTACGTGATAAGATAACAAATGGTCTTAATCTTAGGTCCTAATTCACAAAAATCCTATTATAGTATAGGTACAAAGTACAAACAGTCGAAACTGACTACACATTTTTGACGGAAAGAAAGTGAATTGCCTATTAACTTTAAATAAGCGTGAAACCACAAATCAGCGATTTAGGTATTAAGTACAGTGCTTGGAACCGTCGTTTGTGAAACGGTGTATAATTTAACAACCAAGTGTACATACACTGAACAGCAAAAAGTTACTTTTC